TCCCAGGAAGCATCCGGCAGGTCCCTCTGGCTCCTAGGGGCAGGGGAGTGTAGCTGGGGGGAGCAGGGGGAGCAGCCGTTCCCCCACAGATCACATCAAAAGTGGCGCCTTAGGCGCTGACTCCCTGGGTGCTTCAGGGCTGGAGCACCCACGGGGAAAATTTGGTGGGTGCAGAGCACCCACTGGCAGCTCCCCGCCCTGCGCCCGGCCCTAGCTCACCTCACCTCCGCTCTGCCTCCTCCCCTGAATGCACTGCCCTGCTCTGCTTCTCTACCTGCCCTGGCTTCCCATGAATCAGCTGTTTGGCGGGAAGCCGGGGAGGGCTGAGAAGCAGGCGGCGGCTTCCCGCTCAGGCCCAGGGAGGCGGAGGTGAGCTGGGGCGGGGAGCGGTTCCCCTGCGTGCCCCCCCCCAGGTTACCTGCTGCGTTGCAGGCGGCCCTCCTTGCGCCCCCTCCCCTCCCGCCCCAGCTCACCTCCGCCTCCCTGGGCCTGAGCGGGAAACCACGGCCTGCTTCTCAGCCTGTCCCAGCTTCCCGCGCTGAACAGCTGATTGGGGGGCGGAGAAGCAGAATGGGGCAGCGCATTCAGGGGAGGAGGTGGTGGCGGAGTGGAGGTGAGCTGGGGGTGGGGCGGGGAGCTGCCGGTGGGTGCTCTGCACCCACCAAATTTTCCCCTTGGGTGCTCCAGCCCTGGAGCACCCATGGAGTTGGTTCTAAAAGGGCTTCTAAGTTTAACAACCGGTTCTAGCGAACCGGTGCGAACTGGCTCCAGTTCACCACTGGTTACCCCTCTCCATTCTGAAAATTTACCATTCACCCAGTTTTGTGAGATCACTTTGTAACTCTTCACAGTCTGCTTTCGACTTAACTGTCTTGCATAGTTTTGTATCACCTGCAAATTTTGCAACCTCACTGTTTACCCCTTTTTCCAGATCATTTATGAATATGTTGAATGGTACTGGTCCCAGTACAGACCCCTGGGGGACACCACTATTTATCTCTCTCCATTCTGAAACTGACCATTTATTCCTACCTTTTGTTCCCTGTCTTTTAACCAGTTCTCAATCCATGAAAGGATCTTCCCTCTTATCCCATGACAACTTAATTTACATAAGAGTCTTTGGTGAGGGACCTTGTCAAAGGCTTTCTGAAAATCTAAGTACACTATGTCCACTGGATCCCCCTTGTCCACATGTTTGTTGACCCCTTCAAAGAACTCTAATAGATTAGTAAGACATGATTTCCCTTTACAAAAACCATGTTGACTTTTGCCCAACAATTTATGTTCTTCTGTGTGTCTGACAATTTTATTCTTTACTATTGTTTCAACTAATTTGCCTAGTACTGACATTCAACTTACTGGTCTGTAATTGGCAGGATCACCTCTAGAGCCCTTTTTAAATATTGGTGTTACATTAGCTATCTTCCAGTCACTGGGTACAGAAGCTGATTTAAAGGACAGGTTACAAACTATAGTTAACAGTTCCACAATTTCACATTTGAGTTCTTTCAGAACTCTTGGGTGAATGCCATCTGGTCCTGGTGACTTGTTACTGTTAAGTTTCTCAATTAATTCCAAAACCTCCTCTACTGACACTTCAGTCTGTGACAATTCCTCAGAACTGTCACCTACAAAAGACGGCTCAGGTTGGGGAATCTCCCTAACATCCTCAGCCATGAAGACTGAAGCGAAGAATTCATTTTGTTTCTTTGCAATGACTTTATCGTCTTTAAGTGTTCCTTTTGTATCTTGATCGTCCAGGGGCCCCACTGGTTGTTTCACAGTCTTCCTGCTTCTGGTGTACTTAAAAAACATTTTGTTATTACCTTTTGAGTTTTTGGCTAGCTGTTCTTCAGCTCCTTTTTGGCTTTTCTTATTACATTTTTACACTTAATTTGGCAGTGTTTATGCTCCTTTCTATTTACCTCACTAGGATTTGACTTCCACTTTTTAAAAGATGCCTTTTTATCTCTCACTGCTTCTTTTACATGGTTGTTAAGCCACGGTGGCTCTTTTTTAGTTCTTTTACTGAGTTTTTTAATTTGGGGTAAACATTTAAGTTGAGACTCTATCATGGTGTCTTTGAAAAGTGTCCATGCAGCTTGCTGGGATTTCACTCTAGTCACTGTACCTTTTAATTTCTGTTTAACTAACCTCCTCATTTTTGCATAGTTCCCCTTTCTGAAATTAAATGCCACAGTGTTGGGCCATTGAGGTGTTCTTTCCATCACAGGAGTGTTAAATGTTATTATATTATGGTCACTATTTCCAATCGGTCCTGCTATAGTTACCTTTTGGATCAGATCCTGCACTCCACTCAGGACTAAATCGAGAGCTGCCTCTCCCCTTGTGGGTTCCTATACCAGCTGCTCCAAGAAGCAGTCATTTAAAGTATCGAGAAATTTTGAAGAACAATGAAGAACAATAAAGCACCAGGTCCTGATGGCATACCAGCTGAAATACTGAAAGTGGGGGGAGAAACACTGACTAACAAGCTTCACTTTCTGCTCCTCAAAATCTGGCGCACTGAAGAAATCCCTGCTGATTTACGTAATGCTAACATCATCGCCATTTTCAAAAAGGGAGACAGGGCTGACTGCACCAACTATGGAGGCATTGCCCTCCTCTCCATCGCTGTGAAGATTCTTGCTAGAATCTTACTGAGTCGCCTGCTCCCTCTTGCAGACGAAGTACTTCCAGAGTCCCAGTGTTGCTTCAGACCATCACGAGGCACAACCGACATGATTTTCGCAGAGAGGCAGGAAAAATGTCAAGAACAACACCAGGAGCTGTATACGGCCTTTATCAATCTGACCAAAGCCTTCAACTCTGTGAACCATGAGGCTCTATGGAAAATCATGTCAAAGTTTGGCAAATTTATCACCACTGTAAGCCTCCTCCATGACCAGATGACTGCCTCCATCCTGTGCAGCGGCTCTACCTCTGAGCCCTTTGTCATCCAAACTGGCGTAAAACAAGGTTGTGTACTGGCACCCCCCCTTTTCTCCATTTTCTTAGCAGCTATGAAAACATTAACCCCAGATTGTCTACCACAGGGCACTGGCATCCAACGCTGGATTCACAGCAACCTCTTCAACCTTTCTTATCTCCATGCCAGAACTAAAGTAATATTGGCAAAAATAACTGAACTCCAGTACGCAGATGACTGTGCTGTAGTTGCACACTCACAGAAGGATCTTCAAACAGCCCTTAATTGCTTCTCTGAAGCTTACAAAAGCCTAGGGCTAACTCTGAACAACGGCCAAACAAAAATTCTCCACCAGCCAGTCCCCAGTCAATCATCAGACCCAGCAAGGAAGATCTATATCGACAAAGAAGAATTGGAAAATGTAGAATACTTTGCTTATTTTGGCAGCCATCTCTCAAAGAGGGCAGACATAGACGTCGAGATTCAGCACAGAATTCGCTGCGCCAGCCTTGCCTTTGGCAGACTGTCTCGCCAGGTGTTCAACAATCACAACATTAGAACACATATTAGAATTTGTTTATAAAGCAGTGGTAATCCCAACTCTCCTCTATGACTGTGAGACTTGGATGACCTACACAAAACACCTGAAAAACCTGGAACACCAGCACTTTCTTTGGAAGATACTCAACATAACGTGGGAGGATCATTGCAGTAATGTCGGTGTCCTCACAGAGGCCAACATCTTCAGTGTTGAGGCCCTGATAATCCAGCACCAGCTGAGGTGGAGCAAGCACTGTGTGCGCATGCCTGATGTACGCTTACCAAAACAACTGCTGTATGCCCAACTCATGAAAGGAAATGGGGAGGCCAAAAGAAATGTTTTAAAGACACCCTCAGGATAAACAGCAAGAGATGTGGCATCAACACCAAACACTGGGAGACAGCAGCCAAGGACAGGGATAATTGGCGAAGATTTGTCAGAGAGGGAATGTCCACTTTTGAGGAAAATCACCCTGCCCTGGTCGCAGAAAAATGCCAGAAAAGAAAGGAAAGACAACTGTTACGCAGCAATCGTGGCCCAACCCTGTCTTCCAACACCACCTGCAATGTCTGCCAACGAGCCTGTGGCTCAAGAATCAGACTCCTCAATCACCAAAGGACCCATGAAAAATAAAACCTGTGAAAGAGGCAAAGAGTCCTATGGCACCTTATAGACTAACAGACGTATTGGAGCATGAGCTTTCATGGGTGAATACCCACTTCGTCGGATGCATCTGTTAGTCTATAAGGTGCCACAGGACTCTTTGCTGCTTTTACAGATCCAGACTAACACGGCTACCCCTCTGAAGTTGTGAAAGAGATCATCCTCGATCTCGAGGGATCGCCTACGAATTTAAGTATCACTAACAATGGGTAAATCCAGAAGTTACACCTATACCTATTATTAATAGTATTAAGCCCCTTAACCCCCCAAATTAGAAGTCAAATGTGCCTCTGCTCCTGGCTGAGTAATGGTTTATCTCCCTACCACAACTCCAGCTCTGCCCCCTGATTTCGCTGCGGCATCTAGGACAGACTCCTGCTCTGACCACTAGTTGTCACTGTAATCCACACACCTTCGGGGTGTGCTGTTCTGCCCCATCTCCTGGTACCGAGATCACTTAAAGAAAGAGATAAAATGAGTCTGCTACCAGCCACTTAACTTGCGGCTCATGCTTTAAGCTGCAGGTTCGATCCCGCCTGCCGACGACTGGGGTCTGTCAGTGTTACGTCATGTATGTTGGCATGTAACACCACCCCCGGTGCGCCCCCCAGGAAATTCGTACCCTCACCGAGCTACCCATGGTGCCCACCCCATGCATCTCGCCACACTGCCAGGGCGTGCGCCCCCTTGCACAGTGCACCTCTCCACGCGTGCCCCACACAGTGCGATCCCCTCCCGCAAATACCTCACGGCTCCCGCAGCCCAGCCCCCGCTTCTTTTTAGCCAGCGTCTCTCCCCCTCGCGGGCCCAGCCGCTGGGCTGAGGCGTCTGTGCCACCCGGGGCTCCTCTTGCCTGATGTTTCCTACCCAGTCAGGTTCCTCCTCCGGGGCGTTTTGTTCCCCCTAGCAGCTGCCTGGCAGCCTCGAGCCGCCTGTTCACCACCCCCAGAGCGTCTCGGGTCGCCATGGAGACACAGCCACCTCCCCCCCCCACACCCGCCGCACAGCCTCGCTACCTTCTTTCTCCCTCACTTCTGATTGGTGACAACGTCTCCCCCTCTGTCCAATAGGAGCAGAACACGGAAAGACCTCCCCCTCCCCCGTGGTTCGCGGACAGAGAACTAAGGGGCGCTGAGGGGTTGTGATGTAGCCCGCTGGGATTTGTAGTTCATCCTTCTTCCTTTCTCTATGAAGTTGCTGTGCCTCCGAACTACAAGTCCCAGCAGCCACATCGGCTAAAGGGAGGTGGGGAGCGCCAGGCGACGGCACCCACCACGCTGCCAGCCTAGACCCTGGCCGGGGACCTGTTCCCTGTTCGCCACCCCCTCCGCCCGCTGCGAGTTATGTGCGGGAGCTGCGGGTGGGGTCCCCTCCTATGAGCTGTGCGCCCCAGCCCTCGGCCAGGGCGGGCCCCATAGCCCGTCCCTGCGGTGCCCGGTGGGGGGCAGACCCCACCCCCGCCCGCGGTGCCCCGTTCCCATAAGCCGCACCCCGCGCGGAGAAGGGCGCCATCGCCGGCATCAAAGCTGGGCAATATGCGGCCCCCCTGCCCGGGCTGGTGGCACCTGGGGGTGAGGGTGGCAGGTGTCCCGCGAGGGCTGTTGAGCAGCGGCGGCCCCTGGCGAGGGGCGAGGGGCGGCAGCTGGTCGCGCTCTGCCCTGTTCGTGACGGGCCCCTCCAGCAGCTGCGGGAGCCCGGCGGGCCCCGAGGCGGGCAAGAAGAGGGGCAATAAGCCCCTCAAGGAGTGGACGCTGATTGTCAGCCCGTTCGGCCAGCTGAAGGTGCGGCTGCCCTGCCACGTTACCGTGCGCCCCCTGGACCCGCTCCGCTACCCGGCCGCGGACAGAGCGCTGGTCACGGTCAGCGGGGTGGACAGCAGCCTGCCCCAGGGTGTGGACCTGGATCGCCTGCAGGTGAAGTACGACGAGGCGCTGAAGGAGATGACGATTGTCTCCGACCACGTGGACAGCAAGGCCGCTGTTGTTGTGAAGACACCTATGAAGTTTGGTATGTGAGGTGTAGCTGGTTCAGATGTAGTATTCTGTTGTAGTTGAGGTGTGGGTATGTGCGCTGTGTGTCCAATCCCTGTTCTCCGCACAGTGAGACATGCACCTGTGTCTCCCTGGGTTCAGGCCTCTCTTGACCTCCCTTCTTGTAAGACTTGACAGTGCTGTTGCAATAGTGCCAACCTCAGGCACTCAAAAACCATGAGTCAGGTTCTCCACAAAATCATGAAACTTTTTTTAAAGGGTTCCTTTTCTTTTCCTGTTGGTTTCATGGAATCACAGAATCATAGAAGATTAGGGTTGGAAGAGAGGCTTTAGGGTACACTGACTTCTTATTTTCAAACTTTTCTGTGCAACCATAGGGGCTAGAAATGTACATTTTTATTTGAATGAAAACGGAGATATACATGCCATCTTTTGATTCCAGCAGCTGAAGCTGTAAGAAAAACACCAGGTATTATGAGAGTTGGCAACACATCAGCAGGGGTTGATGTTGTTTTCTAGTTGAACTGGCGATACTACTGATAGTTGGCTGTGCACACTTGCAGTTCACGGATTTTTCGCACCAGATGTGGTACATGCAACCAACCCTCCAACACAACCTCCAATGGAGTCAGAGTCATGAGCTCTACTAGCTTGTGTTCTTTTGGGTGTCCCATCTCACCGGTTACAAAAACTGGAAGACAACAGTGTTTGCAGTCATAGAGACAAGAATGCCAGGAGAGGCCTCTTCTTTTCCAGTACAATTCCTATGTCATCCCTTAGCAGTGAGAAACTCCCTCTGAATCCAGACAGTGCTGTGAGTACAAATCCTACAGACAGCTCAGCTGTACTGCCCAGTCTTGCTGGAATATGTTTAATAGTGGTGGTGCTGAAAGCCAGATCCCTTACCCCCTGGCTGCGCCCCCTCCCCCAGAGCTGGGGCCGGGAGCAGGGCCGTGTCTCCGGGAAGGGGGGACCCGGACAGGGCTAAGGGGGCCAAGGCTGTGGTCACAGCAGGGGGCTGAGGGGGTGTGGTAGCTGCATGCAGGGCCAGAAGCAGAGGCGCGGGTCCAGTGGCCAGGACCCTCAGGCACAGGGCGAGTAGCTGTGTGCAGGGCCAGAAGTGGAGGCGCGGGGCCAGTGGCTGCAGGGGGGCCAGAAAAGGAGCCGTGGGGCCAGTGGCCAGGACCCCCGGGCATGGGGCCAGGACCCAGTGTGCGGGGCCAGGAGCGGAGCCCCATGTAAAACCTGGTGGGTGCTGCAGCACCCCTCCCCCACCCCCCCCGCCCGCACCTCTAGTGTCCGTGCCTATGGTACTACCACCAAATGTGGTAGTTGCTAACCAGGCTTGGGCCAATAGCCATATTACTCCTTAACTGCTTTGCACCAGAGATGAACCCCAAATTTCAGCTAGGCCCAAGGGCTGTTATGTGCCTAAATTCATAAATGTTTGAGGCACTCACACTACTGAAGTAAGTACCATAAATGCCTGTTAAACAATATGCAAACATCTTTTTCATAGGCTAATACCTTCTCCCTATACTTACTCTGCAGATACGTTAGTCAATGTACTGATTTCCCTGTGCCCCTTCTGCCGCACGTACACACACTGTATATATAGACAATATTTGTTATCTGAAATTTGAAGTGTACTTTTGAGATCATAGGAATGGCATATTTTGAGATGATTGAAAATTTCAGATGGAGGCATACTCTGTGGATTATTCCCTCTTCCCCAGGAGGCTATAATCCTGTATTGGCTATACTGCCTCTTTTAACAATCTCAGAAGTTGGAGGGTATTTAGGCTTGCAATATTATCAGTTTATCAAGGAAAATCATGTAAAATAACTCTGGGCTAACAGTGAAACAGAAAGTGACCGAGCTTTGGAAGATGTGGTTGTAGAGTATTTTCAGTGACTGCTCTGTTTTTCTTCTACGTGTAATTATTGTAGATTGAGACCAGATATTACAGTGTTTTAGAACTGTTATTTGTTTCTCTTTAGCACTAAGAGAGCCCCATTTTTGCTTTCACTATTCTAGATTTGGATATCAAGACATCAGGAACTGGCTGTGTGAAGATTCAGAAAATAGACTGTGATAGCTGCAGAGTAGAAACTGAGAAGGGGACTAGCATTTTACAGTCAATAAAGGTACAAAGAGCTCTTCTTCCTCTATACTCATTATTTTAAAGGCAACTGTTTATTATGGAATACAGTATTATAAGGCCAGAATCTAGTCTTGAAGACATGGTATGCAGTGCACATGCAAGAACACTTGCAGATGATACAATAGCTGATTTCATTGTTTTTTAGTGCACTGATTACAATATGCAAGTTAATAATCATAGATTGCTTGAGACAATGAAGTGCTGAGCGCCCTCAACAACAATTCAAGCCAGTAGGCCAAAATCTGTTCTCCCAAAAGTCAATGTCAAAATTGGCCTTGACTTCAGTGAGTGAAGGCTAAACCTGGTTGTGAGTTAAGGGTGTGCAGCATCTTCCAGGAGGAGCTTGGTCCCTCCCAGGATCAGCCTATGATGTTTTTGTTTAAATTAGTAACAAGGAGAGTTTTCTTTTGGATCCTTAGTTTTTGTTGTTGAGATCATTATATTTCTCTTGACTTCTCAAGTTAATTCAATTAATCACTATCACACACATGCCCTCTGGATAAGTTTTCAGCCATAGATTTGTATATAACTTTCCAGCTAAATTGCTGACATTAATATTACCGATAAATACCATACATTGTGTTGACATGACCCCTTTTTACCCCAAAGATTTCAGACTTCTCTGCACAGTACGCTTTTGGACTCATAGTGGGTCCAACTCTGCTGTAAATCAGGATTAATTTCACTTAAATCAATTGAATAGTATAATTCATAGTATAAAATAGTATAAAAATTAATGTAATTCAAGGGAGAATTGGTCCCAGAATGTGTTTTCAGACACATTCACTTCTACCTATTTTTGGTAGCCAAAAATGCAAAAACGAGAGAGTTACTTTAATTTCAGTGGTAGACAGTCAGGCCCTTAATGGGAGATTTGTCATTAACTTCAAACGGGATCGGGTCCTACACTGACCAAGCTTTTTAAAAGCTGTGTACCATTTTCCCTCCAGATTCTGCACTATCAGTACTGGACCAGAACCCAATTGTGCTTGGTGCTATACAAACACAGAAAAAAGAGAAGGCCCCTGCCCCAAAGAGCTTATAATCTAACTATAAGACAAGAGACAACAGATGGGTACAGACAGACAGAGAGGGAACTACATGGAAACAACACAACAGTATTGGTCAGCGTGATGGGCAGTGGTCTCAGCATGCCAGCAGCCTAACAATTGTGAAGATTTTTGTAGGCATCATGGAAAAGAAGAGTTTTAAAGAAGGATAATGAGTTAATTTTGTGTATGTTTACAGGGAGCTTCTCCCAAGTGTGAGAGGCAGTATATGTCTAAAACAAACATTTCAGTTTACTAGAATATAGGAAAACTATAAAGCACTAAATAATATATGAAACAGGATCTGAATGAGCGCTCCCCTTGATATCTAGTGATGCAATGGGGGAAAAGACTTTAGGAGCAAACCATGTTTGCGTAGACGTGCCTAGTCAGCCTAAGTGCGCAGCATGATGGAGCTGCTTTGCCAGAATGATCAATTTTGGCTGGTCTTGGATTACAAATTACTCAAGTATTTGAATGTAGGGGTAATGAAATCTTGTAATCCTTATTGTACAAGTAAAGGGTAGCAGAACTGTTCTTAGCATGCCCTGATTGAGGGTTTCCCCTAAACTGAACCTCACTCGCTAAGCAGAGGGTAGGGATGTCAAATCCCAGTGAAGAAGAAAATGGGTCGGGACAGATGTTCCTACTTGATGATATGGATGCTGCTCAAAGAGTGCTAATGACAGAGCTGATTAGACTCAATAGAGAGTCCTTGTTTCTGGTTGGTGATTCCTAGAGCTGTCAGGTCTGGGAGCTAAGCTTGAGGGCAGGTCTACGCTACAGCCCGAATCCACACTCTGACCCGTCAAAATGACAGTAGATTGCTCTCCAATCAACACCTGTACTCAACTCCCGACGAGAAGAGTACGGTGCCGTCGACTCTCCATCATAGTTTAGAGTAGCCTTGAGATTTCTCTAATCTGTACCAGCTGACTGAATTCCCCTTGCCATACCTCCCTGGGGGCAAGATGACAATCACTGGAGTATAACACGGGATCCCTCCCCTCTGGACGTGCTTCTGGAATGCACCCTGTGCTAGGGCCTCACTGGAAGAACCTTCAACTGGGGAGATCTGGCTCCTTCATACCACCGTAGCACAGATGGGCCACAGTAGGGGAGAGAACTTGACCTGGAATGTTTTGGGTTTTTTTGTTTTTTGGGGGTTTTTTTTTGGTGGAGTTAATTTAGTAAGAACATAAGAAGGAATCCAAGGACTGGATTCAAACATTTACTAGAATGAAATGTCACTGGACATATTTATATGACTTTCCTTTTTAAAAAAAAACGTAGCACTAGTTGCATTTACTCTTGCACTACTATGTGTCAACATGGGCACACTCATGCAGACACTAAAGTCCATGGGGCTACTCATGTGAGTAAAATTATTCATGTAAGTGTATGCAGGATCGGGGCTTATGATCCTAGTAAAATTACAACATCTCATTACTTAGTCAAAACACAAATTTAGCTTTTAGCCAATTTTTTAAAGTAGTATTCTGGCAATTAGAAAAAACTTACAAAGTTATATAAGTCTACTGTATTTATGCTGCTGATTTAGAAAATGTCCTATTATAGCAGTTGGAAGAAAGATGATTAGAAGAGTGATAAAGCGATCTTAACTACTTAGCAGTGCATAGTCTACAAGTAACTGAAGTTTAAATTACATTCTAAGACTGCAGCCCTTCAAAATGATCTACAGAGTCTGAGCCGTATTCCTGCATAGTGTTCCCTTGACATACGTGGGACTTTGTATCCATGTTCTATTGCCCTCTACTGGATGGAATCGGGAAGTACTTGACTGTGCATTATAGAAATCTTCTGTCTCACTTCGGTGGTCACATGCTATCTACACACCATTGTGATCGTGGAGTGTCATGTTCCTGTTCTAGAAATGGACTAGTTACAGAGCTTGTTTATACACACCAGATATGTTCATCATAAGATCCTTTAATGCTTTGTGAGGTATGGTTGCGGTTTGTTTAAAAAAGATATTTTACACAAAATGTCACCTAGTGGCTAAACAGTATAATACAGGTTTCAGAGTAGCAGCCGTGTTAGTCTGTATTCACAAAAAGAAAAGGAGTACTTGTGGCACCTTAGAGACTAACACATTTATTTGAGCATAAGCTTTCGTGAGCTACAGCTCACTTCATCGGATGTGCTCAAATAAATTTGTTAATCTCTAAGGTGCCACAAGTCCTCCTTTTCTTTTTGTAGTATAATACAGTTTAGCATTCCAGTTCAGGGAGGAAGGAGGCCCCTTCCCACTAGATGAGAACAAAATATTATGCAGTCATTCCAAACCATTGATAGGGTGGTCTATTAGAGGAAATGATTGTGTGTGTATTCAAGAACACCAGCGAAGGCAGATTTTCACAGTCACTAGTTCTCAGATTCATAGTTATAGGTCTCAGCAAGTTATGCATTGTTCTTTTTAATCTTCTTCAGAAGATGAGTTGCTGCTCAGTGCTGTCACATCTGAAATATATAATGTCTTTAGAGCTCATTCTACATTCAGCAAGAAATAACGGCTATTTTGATTTCTTCTTCCCCCAGTATTTCTTTGGTCAGCAGAGTCCTTCCTCCATTGAGAAATAGGGCTCAAATCAGGAAAGATTAGACTTATGAATTTTTTTTGGAGTACAGTAACACTCTCAGTGTGTGATGCGATGCTCAGATACAGTGAGATTATACAGAGGTTGCTTACCCCTCTCATCAAGTGCACAGCCATACCTCCGGTTACCCTGCAGACTAATTGAACAAGAATTTTAAAATAGAATCTCACCTCCTGGGGTATGGTTTATTAATATAGGTTATAGCCCAATATGTGCTAAGGAAGCCATCTATACTTGTCAGTTTCCCACAGGTCTTCCTGTCAGTTTCTCACTAGGTTCTGCAAATAGTCCTTCATCCGTTGTGGCAGGGTTCACAATTGTTTTATATCTGGCTAAAATGCAGGAGAGTTTGATCTGAGTAAAAACTGCAGGATATACTCCCTATATAATAATCTGCATGTCCAAGCTAAAGTCCTACTTCATCTAGGTCCCAGGATGCAATGCAAACAAACCCCAAAGCCCATCCTCTTTTAAATATTACCTTTGTGTATTCAGAACTCAATGCTTTTTTCATATTTTCTGCAGGTGATTCATTCATTCAACCATCCATTGGTTCTACTCTAAATAATGAAATAAGCATGGCATAATAGCCTGAATTTGTTAGCCAAACATCTTTACTTTCCTTCGCATGCCTTTAGTATGCGTTTCATCAACAGTTAACATATAAAGCTACCTTGTGGATATGATTTCTAATCAGGTTGGGAGCCAAAAATGCATGATTTGTAGAGAGGAGGGTAAGAAGTCTTGGTGGGTCTTTCACATGCCCGAGTAAGATATTACATAGTGACACTTCCATCTCGGGAGAAGCTGTGTGTCCTTAAAGCTGCTGAGTAAGTAGAGTGATCATATCAATTTCTGAGGAAGGGGTGAGAGAAAAGAGGGTCACAAATATGAATGATATTTACACCCACTTTTGCTGAAGACTTATTTGTTCTCAAGCTTTAGACCCTCAGCTGCCTCCGACCCTAATATGCTGAGCATTTTACTGGTCTCACTCTCCTGGCTAGTATTTACCAATAGAAAGTGAAATTGGTAAAACTTGGTAGTGGTAGATTTTAGGACTTGGGGCAAAAATTACCCAACTTCTATCAATGAAAATTACCAAGTGACTTTCTCATGCTTGATATCTGTACAACATAACATTTTAGCACAAGCTTGGTATTATTGGAAACCTCACATTACAGGCTTTCAAGGGACATGAACCACAAAATATTGCAAAATTATTGGCATTAAAATGGTATTTTTTGTTTTAAAAAAGAGAAATCATGTTGCCATGTATTATTTCCACATTTAAGTTAGTGTGACCATTTGGCTCCAAAATAGTTGCTTTCAGAAGAAGAGAGCTGGGCAGAGTGATCCATTTGTGTATATCTTGAATCATAAGAAAAAATGAATTTGTTTTTAGTCATAGTGGAAAGATGTTTACTTCAAAATTACTTAGCGCACTTGGCAGTTTTCCAGAAGAAGCTCAATAAGTGGAATTGCTGAGGTTTGCAGATCAAGAGTGATTTGAACAGTGGAGTTTGAAAGAACAAAGATAAACAGAATCTGAAACTAAACTATTTTGATACATACGTATAATTATTTTTCAGAGTCATAAAATCCATGTACGAACTAAAGGAGGCAAAGTGATCTGTCTGGGAACTCTTCATGGAAATGCAGATATTCATGCAGCAGAAAAAAGTGTAAGCAAAAAGTGAAGTCTTCGCTTTTGGGGATTGTTATATTTATAATTCAAGTTGTCTGATGTAAAGTAGGTAAATGCTGAGGAATGTTTATGTACTGCAACTTGATTCTGATCAGCTAATCTTCATCTCATTCTTACCTTGTCTACCCTCCATCTGGTTGTTGAGTCTTTTTCATATACTTATGGCTTGTCCACGCAACACATTAGTCCACACCAGAGGGATGTAAATTCTAGTGCACACTAATATATTGCGCACTAACTGGCCTGTGAGGACCCAGCTGATGTGCACTAAAAGTTCCCTAGTGCATGTTAATGTACTGTAGTCCTGTTTGAAACAGGATTACTTTAACACACACTAGGGAACTTTTAGTGAATGCTAGTAGTGTCCACCCTGGCCAGTTAGTGCACAGTATGCTTGTGCAGTGGTTCTCAACCAGGGGTACCATACCCCTGGGGGTGCACAGAGGTGTTCAATAAAATAAAACCCAGCAGGATCTTCTTAAAGGGGATAAGGCAAAATGCCACATTTATTGTGAATACAGAAAGAATCATAGTAAGCAGTTAGTTATAACTATAACATTCCATTCAATTTCATATTTATTCACACATTCATTCATACACACACACACAGGTTCTGCAAGGTTGTTATCATAGTTACCAGCCTTACAGTTGCTCATGCCAAGCCACTGGCCAGGTGGCCTGGACACAAGGAGGGAACAGGGCCTTGTCAGAGGCACATCTGATGCTCCTGGAAGTTGGTTTGCAGAATCAGACCCCAAAGTTCTCACTTTCTAGAGTCCATTTTTATAGGAATTTCTTCCTATGCCAGTCTATGGGAATTGCTTCATCATGCTGTTGCTGAATCAATCAGCAGATAGCACATTCCTGACGGCTCCATGCTGCCAGATGTTATCTTGTTCTTCAGTTCTCCCATCCTTGAGGCTGTTGGGTGGATTCCAGTCTGTCCTCAGGGGGTCCTCTGGTTGTTTCCAGTTGACGCCGCCTTCAGCCAATCGACACTGGATTCTTAGGCTGGCACCTCCCTGGTCATTCATTTATTATCCACACCAAGCATCCATCCACATCCTCTATCTCTATTTTAATCCCAATTGTTAACAAAGCGAGATAAATACAACAAAAGGGCGGGGGGGTCTCTGGGTGCTGTTTCTGTTGTTACAAAGTATCGCTTTGAGTCTCTCTCTGTGTGAGTAGTTGTTATTACAAAGTATTGCTTTGAGAACAGACTCTGTTTTAGGGTGTACTAACACAATTAGCAGCTTGCAACATTCACGCAGAGGGAGAGAAACAGTAAAAACAAGAGACCAAAAACCAAGAGACCTCTTAATTAGTAATACCCTGGAACTTAAACTATGGGGAATCAAACTCATTTGTGATTTTAATACAGAACTTCTTTAATATGATCCAACATAACAGAGGTTTTTCAGGGGGTACGTAAACTCATCTAGATGTTTGCCTAGTTTTACAACAAGCCACATAAAAAGCACTAGCGAAGTCAATACAAATTAAAATTTCATACAGACAATGACTTTAGACTGCTCTATATACTGTACACTGAAATGTAAGTACAATATTCATATTCAACTTGATTTATGTTATAATTATATGGTAAGAATGAGAAAGTCAGCAATTTTTCAGTAAGTGTCCTGTGACGCTTTTGTATTTTGATGTCTGATTTTGTAAGCAAGTAGTTTTCAAGTGAGGTGAAACTTGGGTGTACGTAAGACAAGTCAGGCTCCTGAGAGGGGTACAGTAGTCTGGAAAGGTTGAGAACTACTGTGCTAGTGCACATTAGAATTTATACCCCTCTGGTGTGGACTAATGCATCATGTAGACAAGCCCTTAGACTGTTAGCTCTTCAGGGCAAAGACTGTCTTTTTCTTACATATGTGTACACTGCCGAGCACAGTGGAGCAGCAGTCCTGATTGGGGGCTCTAGTCACTACACCAGTACAAATAATAATAATGAATAAAGCCTCTCTCACTTGTGGAGAGATTAGAGGCTGGAACTCAAGATTTCTTATTTTGTCTTTTATAAAGTATGTCAGTTAAATTACTAAACTAAAATTCAAATCTGGTATCTTGCTGACAAGACTACTTTTTGTATCTTTTTAACTTCATTTTAAATTTTGCATGCGAGGTCAGTCTATAAATATGAATTCTACCACAGTAGATTTAATTTCTAGTTTTTGTTAATATTAAATAAAAATAAAAATCAATCTCCTTTTATTCTAACATAGGAACAAATTAGCTATGGAATAAGTAGATGCAACTCTGTCAGTTCCAGCTTAGTTGTGACTCCTTTCATTAGGAGTAAATTGTCCAACATTTTCAAATATGGGTGCCTAAAATAGTCATCTGAATCCATATATAAGCACCCAATTAAAAGTGGCTTGATATTCAAAAGTGCTGACCACCCACAGCTTCTATTGAAGTTAATGGGAGTTAAGCATCTCTGAAAATCAGTAGGTTTATTTAGGTTCTTTAATATGGATTTAGGTGCCTAACTCTAGGCAACCAAGTCTGAACATGTTGACCATAACATTTTAACAAAAATTGTGTACGAGATAGTGTACAATGGATCATAATCACATCTAATAATTTCAGGGCTGTAAGGTCAACAAAACTAAAGCAGAAAATGGTTTGTGTATATCTGGGTGGTAGTTTAGGTAAAATGCTGAATGGGAGTATGTAATACTAATCATACAATGTGAACTGAAGAGAGTGGTTAATACAAACCTTTTTTAAAGTAGAAATAGTTCATATTTTCCAGCAGATGGCATCATAAGGCAAGTTTCATGCCACTGTGCTTTGTCTGTCTGTCTTAATGGTAAGAGAGATAAGAGCATTCTGTACAGCTACCATTCCTTGGACCAGATCTGGGCCCCTGCTTCAGTGGTGCAAAGGGATTCTAAAGCTGCCCTAACCAAACAGCTGAGAATTCCTCTGGCTATGCTGGCACTATGGTACCCCAGCCTGGCCTTTTAGCATACAGTCATCTGGAGGAAGGGTGTGACTGGACCTTGCTGTGGTGCTGTCATCCTTGGCTGGTGTCATGATTCCTCTGAGGCCAGGTTAGAGCGCGCCAGGGACTGGGGGAGCACAAAGATGGTTTACAGCCACCATGGTGCCAGCTCTTCGTGTTCCTATGCTGAGCTCACCTGGGCCTGACCTGAGGATTGGGGCCCTTGTTTTTTCATATTGAGTAAGACTCAGAGTAGTGCAGGGGGCCATATGTCAAAGCAGATTCACTTGTTTTACAACATGCTAGCTTGGCTCTCTTCTCATATATGTTGGTGTAAATTAGGTTTAACATAAAGAAGTCATTTGTCATAATCTACTCTCATTTACATCCATTAATGTTACTCCAAATTTACACTGGTTTAACCAAGAGTAGAATTTAGCTATGGAGTTACAACAGTATAAAGCCAGTATCAGAGCAGAACTAGACACATAGGTATTTCATGTGTTAGAATGTGACAATTGTATTGTAAATACAAACTATAGCCTATCTAATATCATCCCTTTTTCAAATAAATTTCATACGTCTTTTAATATTTGGAAATGTACTTTTCTAAAAGCCCATAATAATTTACACAATATAGTTAAGGACTACTCTGCTCTCAGTAACATCTTTGTAAATCTACAGTAACTTTACATAGGTCAGTGGAGTAACTTTGAATTTACAGCCATGGCACTGGGAACAGAATTTGGCCGATCATGTTTATCTACAGAGTAAAATTTCTTAATGCAGTATTTGGGCAGCCAGTTTTTAGAGTGTGATATTCGGCTTTTCTCAAATAGCAGTTTCTGTTAGTAATCAGGCTGCATTATATCTGCCATGTGTGCTGTTGTTACACTTTTGTTCCATTAGTGGTAGTCATCGTTATGTAGTTATGGGTTTGTCAGCATTTCCATTATAAACCAGGAATATGAGGGGTTTCTAGCTATGCTCTATAATTTCTTCTGGGCTGAAATTGGACACCCAAGATTTCAGCCGCAAAGGGAGTTGTTTTCTAAAACACTAGACAAAATGAAGAAATGGTCAAGGTACTTATAAAACAAAGAATAAGAGCAAATAAATAAATAAGAAAGTGTGCTTTGCTTCTTACTTCAAGTATTTTTTATTGAGACTCAGAAATTAATGCTCTATTGCAAACTTATCATGAAAACTTGCCAAGTCACAAAATCTACTCACTCCCATTTAATATACTGATGAATGAACTGATGATATTTTACTTGCCCACCTAAAGAAAATTAATGACCCTGTGCATGTAGGCGAAATGAGTTTTGCAAGGCTGAACTAATGCATCTAAAAAAGTATAACTGAGTTAAAAAAAGAATTAGATATGTTCATGGAGCATAAGTGCATAAGTGGCTACAAGCCAAGATGGAATGGGACACCCCCATGTTCCAGGTGTCCCTATATCTCTGCCAGAAGCTGGGAATAGACAACAGGGGATGGATCTCTTGATAATTGCACTGTTCTGTTCATTCCCTCTGAAGCAAGTGGTACTAGCCACTGTCAGAAAACAGGATACTGGGCTAGATGGACCATTGGTCTGACCCAGTATGACCATTCTGATGTTCTGATCTTCACAGGAGGGAATGGAATTCCCCAAGAATTTCTGGCGGATAGATTGGTGAAAACATCCCACTTATTTCAGTGGGGAGTCATTAGCGAATCTACACTTGTAGGATCTTATATAACACTTACTTAACAAAACCAAACCATTCAGATTCTGCCAAAAATCCATAAAAGATAAACAATTCAACATGAAAAATAGTCACAGTTAGGGGCCACCCCGTTTTACCCATCTTCTTCTGTTTACAGTACATGTCTTAACTGTGTATCTTGCACTTGTGGGTGAGATCTGAGGTGATTTTAGAATTCTGAGGTGCCTTGAAATGCTCATTCCTCACCTCAGTAACTTTCAGTAGTAACTAGCTGCCTCATTGCACTTCACCTCAATATCAACC